TAAAATGAATGTAAACTTTAACGTTTTCGTCTATTATTTGTTTAGCAATTTACATTTCAGTCGAGGATTGCGCTTTTTTTGATACACCCTGTATAGGGTGGGGTTATGATAAACACAGTTAGGAAAGTAATGTCATAATTATTTAAATGTAAATAGGCTAGCTAAGTCTGTAATCTAAGCGCTAAGCAGGCATAATACTTGATATAATCAGTCACTAAAAAGGTTTTGATATCAAGTACACTACTTCCCCTGTTGTGGTATATATAAGTTTATTTAACATACATATGAAGAGTGGTGTTTTAAGAAATAATACCTAAGCTAAAAACAGTTACATCACATGCAACAACAAACTTCGCTCACTCATTGCCTTCATTATTTTTAGAGAGAATCAAAGAATGAAAACCATTGTAAATGTTTTATAAATATTGTAAATATTGTATAAAATTATAAATTTCTAACTAAATGTGGATTAACTGAAAGGATGCATCATCATATAATTACCTGAACAAACGCCATTTTTGTATGGAACATTTCTATGATAAATGGACTGCAGTGGTCGAACCTATCTTTTGCAGTATGGCATCCTCTGTGCAAATCTTTGCCCGTGCAAAGAGAACCCTCATTATCTGGTCTCCACCAAATGGTACCTTGACAGCTTTCATGTGGTCCTCACTGTCATTTTTTTCTGCATGAGCACCAGGTTGATTAGGGTGTGATGCCACACCACACAAACTGACATTTGCAGCTGCTGCTGGTTTTGTACCTTTTGGAATTTTGATCAATTCAGTCTTCGGGTATATATCTTCCAAGGTATTTTCATATCTAGAGAGGATATTAACAATGTCATCGTACTTCTTCTCTTACTTGAACTGCATAAATGAACTGGATAAAGGTTTGATTGTAGACTTATGCGCCATTTAGTTAGGATATTTACATTCTATGTGTGTACAGGTATTATTGACTTCATGAATGAAAGAGAAGTGATGCAATCTACCAGAATCTGTTCAACTAATACTTTAAAATCGTCCCAGAGCTTTCGTGTTTCTGTGTCGTCCAAGAGGAATATAGAGTTTGGTACAGTGAAAATGTTGTGTTAGGGAGCAATTTTGGATAAACCTTCGCAAGGCACTCTTTCAACAATGATGTTTGAAGCAAAGTAGTGGAGATCTCTATTTTGTTCTGTCTTGTGCATGTCATGCACTCAGATTTTATAGTCCCAGTTATCTCCGGTTCCTTGGAGCTTTTTCCTTGTTTCACCTCGTTCACAACCTGATCATTATTGTGGGTGGCAATGTGGTCCAGCAAATTGACTTTGATGTGATAAGAAAAACCCTAATTTCTGGCATATTTCTATAAGCTGAGTAAAATAATGAAGACAATGCAAGTTTTTAAACAAGCATCATTACCAAATGACTTCATGAATGAAAGAGAAGTGATGCGATCTACTAGAATCCGCCCAATACTTTAAAATCATCACAGAGCTTTTGTGTTTCTGTGTCGCCCAAGAGGAACATAATAACAATAATATTTATTCAGGAAGGTCCACTCACCGAAGTGTTTTTTAGGGAGGTCCTGTAATATATATCTATATTATACATGGTAAACTATACTATGCTCATTTAAAAACTATAAACTAGAAGTTACTATCGCAAGGAAAGTGCCAACTCATCCTGCCTTCCATCACATGAGCATGTAAACTGTAAAGCACCCCTAAGATACCTGTTCTGTAACGACGTCGTCGAGATCAGACGTCTGTAAAAACGCTCCGTGATTTACAACACTAAATGCTCATAATTTTAGGTATAATGTTTTAATTTCTTTAACTTGTTAGTATTGTTGGCTGCTAGTAATATAATTGGCCATACACACAGTAGTGCCTAATAAATGTCTAAAACCAGAGGAGCGACTTTAAAGAAGGAAGTTCAAGCATTGCTTAAATCTGAAGAGTTCCAGGCTATACTTCAGGCAACGATAAAAGAAGCAGTAACTGCAGCGTTACAGGGTATTGTCGAGCCTATGAAAGAAAGGATCGACTCTCTCGAAGAAAAAGTTTTAAATTGTGAAACAGAACTAGCACGTGTTGTTGTTAAAGCGAACGAAAACGAGCAATATTCCCGTCGTCACAACATTAGAGTGTTCAGTTTCGATGAAAATAAAGATGAGGTCTGCACTGATAAAATAGTTAAGTTCTGCAATGAAAAGTTGAATGTTGAAATTGTTAACAGGCAGATTGATAGAGCTCATCGAGTAGGGAAACCAAATGGAAATAAGCCCAGAGCGATAATTGTACGCTTCAAAGCTCACACAGACAAGTTAGCTGTTCTATGTAGAAGAAGTACTCTTGTTGGTACCGATTTTTACATTAATGAAGATCTGACAAAATATAACCAGAAATTACTACTGAAAGCGAAAAAGAATAGTTTAAACGTTAGTTCAACTTGGTCGTCCGATGGAAAGATTTTTGTGAAAAGAAGTTCCGACGAGAGAAGGCTGAGAATCGTCACAATGGCTGATTTTGCTAAATATGAATTAATTTAATATTATTAGCACCAACTATACTTTCATATTTATAAACTTATAATTCCCTTAAGAGATACGTTTTCTTTTTGTGTGTTTAATATCTTTCATGTGCAGCACGAGGTAAGCTTTTATAATACTAATTTGTCTATGTTAGATGATGGGGGTTAGTTTGTCAGCATATAGAGTGGCAATCGGGATGTTTAATTTGTGTAGAGTGATTATTAACGGTCTCAACAACATGGCGAGACGTTTTAAATGTCCGTTTATTAGTTTATTTTTATTTGAATGTTTGGTTATGTTTGTTTTCTGTATTGTTTTGATTCTCATTAAGCTTTCTAATGATGTACAATTAAACCCAGGTCCGGGTTCATCACTTAATTTTGCACATTTAAATGTTAGAAGTTTGAATATAAGAGAAAAATTTGAGGAATTGTCGTCAATTATTTTAGACCAAGATTTTCATATTGTTGCACTGTCAGAAACGTGGTTGAATGAACGCATTTCTAGTGATAAATTTACCATTCCTGGTTACAATCCCATACTTCGATTGGATAGGCCTGGCAGAATTGGGGGTGGCATTGCTTTTTTAATACACAACTCTCTCGTAGTGAAACGTAGAAAGGACTTGGATTGAGTTTAGGGTAAGAGAACATTACTTCTTATGCGGTGCTTGTTATCGTCCTCCTGACACGGATCGTGCTTCTTTGATAAATCTCTATGATAATTTCAGCTTGCTCTTGACAATATACGATTGTTACCGAGAAAATATAATTTGGTAATACTAGGGGACTTGAATTCACATTATGATGATACAAATCCTCATGAGAGTACTACTGCAGGATTAAAATTTAATAGTTTTTTAATAGGTAATAATTTGACACAATTGATTAATGAGCCAACAAGAATTACCAGGCATCAAGCAGCTATTTTAGATGTTTTGATTACAAATTGTCCAAATATTTTTAATAAAACAGGAACTCGTAGTCCTCCTTCTACGTGTGACCACTCGCTTATCTTTGCTCAAATGAAGATTGGTATTTCTAAAAACAAATGTTTTAAAAGAGAGATTTGGGATTTTAGTAATGTAAATACTTCTGCTTTAAATGATGCATTACTATTGAATGATTGGGGATCGCACTGTATTTGATATTGACTATATTTATGAGATATGGTTCAAAACGGTTTATGATGTTGTCAAAAGCTATATACAATTGAAATCTGTTGTCATACGGCCGAGGGATAAACCGTGGATGAATAATGAGGTTCGCCGGGCTATTCGTAAACGTGATAGGTTATTAGATATTCATAATATTAGGCGATCAGATT